GCAGGAAGCTGGAGGAGGGGGAGGACCTCAACAAGGACCAGCGTGCAACCAGGGAGGAGGACCTCAAGCGTCAAGTCTCTACCCCGCCGCTGTCACCGCTCTGGCTTGTTCTAAGTGCTGGAGCGAGGCCCGCTGTTTCGAGGCAAAGCTTCAAGACGAAGCAGATTGCCACATATGCGGCCAGCCGCTGCAGATGACATTCACAATTCTGGACCTGTCCCGAGCTCCCGTCACTCAACCTGGAGGCCGTCCAGAAAACCAGGACGCTGATCCCTCAAGCTGTCCAGGATAGTGACAAGTTGGGTGACTCTGGCTCCGTGGGATAGTTCCAGCCCCCTGGGCCCTCATTGAGGTTCACAAGCACATCTTGGGGCTCGACAGTGACGCCATGGACGCCCGTCGAGTTTGCGGCCGGGGAGCAGCCCCCATGTCGCCTTCAATGCAGTTATGGGCTCGGTCTCAGGAGGTACTCCAGGACAGCAATCTGCCCCAATCGCCGAACAAGCCGCAACCACCTCACTCCACCAAGCCACCGAGGGTCATATCATCATAATTAACGAGTATCTCCCCCCCAGGAGGAAGCATGATCGTACGTAACCCCTAGGCTTGGAAGACGTTCTGGACCGTCGCTGCACCGCATTCCCCTTCTCCCTCGTTGTCTGAAAGTCAAGGGCCACCCGCCAGAGGAGGAGGAGGCAGCCCGCGAACCCGAGTGGACTCTCTCGATGTCAATGATTTTGTCGACGATATTGCAAGATGTGCCGCCCGCAAGAGACGGGTTTCTCCTCCCCTCGTCCGCAAAGTCCAGTGACTTGATCTCCAAGCAGATCTCATCCGAGACCACCTGGCCGCCATCCAGACCCACTACTGGGAGCACAAGGAGGATCCACACCAGGAGCAGGATGACACCGAGGAGGAGCGTTGGCGAGTGAGAGCCCTTAGGAATGTAGATGCCCTTCTGGATGCCCTCCGCAGGACCTCTCATAACCTCATCTCTGCCCCTGTAGCCCCCCCGAAGTTAATATAGCATGCCTCTGCTACAAGAAACAGAGGATTGTTAAGCGTCGTATGCCAGCCCGCAGCGTAAGCACCCATGCTGCCCGAGCAACTTGAGACTCGCCCCTCTCACCATCCCCAATCAGAGGTGCTCAACGGCATCACATCGCGCAGCCGCTGTGAGGCATTGACGGCAAGGGCGCGTAGCAAGCTGACATTCAAGTGCCAGACCCCCACCGAAGGAGGGAGGAAGGCTCTGGCCAAGCTCGCGCGAGGACGCTTGCCGCCAGGGCCCACGGCCTGGCCACTTTTGCAGGTCGCCCCCCGACAAGCCATCAAGAGCCTGAACTGCGACGAACAAGCGGCCCCCCCCACTGGGGGGTGACGGACCGCCGCGAAGGCGTGTGCGCGGAGGAGGAGGAGGAGGAGGAGGAGGAGAAATGAGGAGAAGGCGGAGGAGGAGACGGAGGAGGAGACGAGGATGATGAGGAGGCGGGAGAGGAGGAGGAATGAGGAGGAGGAGGAGCGGGATGGGGAAGGAGAAGGAGGAGGAGCAGGAGGAGGAGGAGGAGGAGGGAGGAGGAGGAGGAGGAAGGAGGAGGGAGGAGGAGGGAGGGGGGATATGGAGGAGAGGGAGGAAGATGAGGACGAGGATGAGGATGCTGATGAGGATACTGATGCTGATGCTGATGCTGACGATGCCGATGATGCTGACGAAGATGACGACGAGTATGATGATGATACTGGTGATGCTGACGATGATGCTGATGTTGCTGAATTTGATGATGATGCTGATGATGTTGATGTTGGTGTTGCTGGTGGTGATAATGGTGGTGATGCTGACACTGAGGATGATGCCGTTCGTGATGCTGGTGATGGTGATGATGCTGCAGATGATGCTGCTGATGGTGATGATGCTGATGCTGAGGCTGATGCTGCTGATGACGACGACGATCAGGTTGATGATGGTGTGGATGAGTATGTTGTTGATGATGTTGCTGATGATGATACTGATGGTGCGCATGCTACTGACTATGATGATGATGCTGATGGTAATGATGTCGCTGCTGATGCTGATGATGTCGATGATGATGATGACGAGGTCGTTGCAGATGGAACTGCAGATGATGACGATGATGCGGATGCTACTGCAGATCATGACGGTGATGCTGATGTTGCTGAATATGATGATGGCGGTGCAGATGTTGCTGATGCTGGCGGTGCTGGTGATGCTGATGCTGATGATGGTGACGTTGGTGATGATGATGCTGTTGCTGCTGATGATGATGACGACGATGATGCTGATGAGGTTGATGAGGGAAATAAAGAGGACGCAGATGAGGAGGAAACTGATGATGCGGATGAGGCGGTAGAGGAGCATGCGGAGGATGAGGAGGAGGACGAGAAGGACGAGAAAGATGATGATGATGATGATGATGATGATGAGACGGAGGAGGAGGAGGAGGAGGCGGGAGGACGGGGAAGGGAGGATGGAGGAGGGAGGAATGAGGATGAGGAGGAGGAGGAAGATGTGGAAGAGGAGGAGCAGGAAGAAAAAGATAAGCAGGAGGAGGGGCAGGAGGGCAATAACGAGGAGGAGGAGAAGGAGGAGGAGGATGATGAGGAGGATGGGGAGAACGAGAAGGAGTAGGATGAGGAAGAGGAGGACACTAAGGAGGAGGAGGAGGAGAAGGAGGAAGAGGAGGAGACTAATGAGAAAGAGGAGGAGGAGGAGGAGGGGAGGACGAAACAGAGGAATATGAGAAGGAGGATGAGGAGGAGGAGGAGGAGAACGAGGAGGAGAAGGCTGCGCACGATGAGGAGACGGGGGGGGGAGGAGGAAGAGGAGGAGGAGGAGGAGGAGGAGGAGGAGGAGGAGGGGGGGGAAAGAGGAGGAGGAAGATGAACAGAGGGGAGGGAGGAGGAGGAGGAGGGGAGGAGGAGGGAGGAGAGGAAGAGAGAGGAGGAGGAGGGAGGAGGGGGAGGAGGATGATGATGAGGAGGAGGAGGAGGAGGAGCAGGAGGAGCAGGAGGAAGCGGAAGAGGAAGGAGGAAAAAGAGCAGGAGGATGAGGAAACGGAGCAGGAACAAGAAGAGAAAGAGGAGGAGGAGGAGGAGGAAACGGAGGAGGATGAGGATGAGGACGGATGGGGGGACGATGAGGAGAAGGAAGGGGACGATGAGGAGGAAGACGAGGACGAGGAGGAAGGGGACGAGAGGAGGAGGAGGAGGAGGAAGAGAAGGAGGGGAGGAGCAGAAGGAAGGAGGAGGAGGAGGAGGAGGAAGAGGAGGAAGAGGGAGCGGATGCTGAAGGGAGGAGCAGGAGAAGCACGAGGATGATGGTGCTGCTGCTGCTGCTGCTGCGGCTGAGGAGGAGGAGGAGGAGGGGAAGGAGAAAGAGCAGGAGGAGGAGGCGGAGGAGGAGGAGGGGAGGGAGGAGGAGGATGAGGAGTAGGAAGAGGAAGAGGAGAGGAGGAGGAGGGGGATGAGGAGAAGGATGATGATGAAGATGAGGATGAGGATGAGGATGAGGAGGACGAAGAGGTTCATGAGGAGGAGGAGGAGGATGAGGAGGGAGGAAGGAGGAGGAGGAAGAGGAGGAGGAGGACGAGGAGTGAAAGTAGGAGTAGGAGTAGGAGTAGGAGGAGGAAGAGCAGCAGGAGGAAAAGGAGGACGAGGAGGAGGAGAAGGAATAAGAGTAAGAGGAGGAGGAAGAGGAGGAGGATGAGGAGGAGGATGAACAGGAGGAGGAGGGGGAGGAGGGGGAGAAGGAGGAGGAGGAGGAGGCGGAGGAGGACGAGGAGGAGGAAGAAGGAGAGAATGGGAAGGAGGAAAACGATGATAAGAACAAGGAGGACGGGGAACACCCAAGAGTCATCAACGAAGTTGGAAGTAATCCTCCCTCCAAGCTCCCTCTTTATAGGCCCCTGCAACGGTTCATTCCCATTGGAGGATATGCCTCGTTGGAAGACAACCGTTTTAAACCCTATAAAGCATGCCAACACATTGATCTCGGGATTTCAACGCCACGTATCAACCTGACTGCTGCGTCTTGACGATCTGGAATCGTGCCAGAACGCCATTTTTGGAGACTTCATCACCGCGAATCAGCATAACTGCTGCGCCCGCATAACCCAGAATCCTTCCAAAACACTGTTTCTGGTACGTTGATCATGGGAATCCATGAAACTCTTGCAAAGTGGCGTTAAGGCGAGAGCCGCATTTTGAAAACCACCCGCCCTCAATCCGTGAAATGCTTGCATTTGTTTTAAACGAATGCGCGCGGCGCTAAGGCGAGAGCCACATCTTGAAAAATAGCCGCCCTCAATTCATGAAGTGGTTGCAGCGTTTTAAGACGAGTGTGCGCGGCGCTGAAGCGATAACCACATTTTGAAAGCCACCCGTCTTCAATCCGTCGTGAAACTTTTGCGAAGTTTGAAATCAAATGTGCGCGGCGCTAAGGCGAGAGCCACATTTGGAAAACGACGCGCCCTCCATTTGTGAAACACCTGCCACGTATTACGCTTCAGAATCATAGATCGCGAACGCAACTGAAGCGAAACGCCCGGCCCGCCCTACAAACTGGCTTCGGGGTGCGACAGGGAGAACTTATTGATAAGGAGGGGGAATGTAGGAAAAGGAGGAGAAGGAGGACGAGGAGGAGGAGGAGGACGACGACGAGGAGGATGAGAAGGAGGCGGACGAGGACGAGGAGGAGGATGTGGAAGGAGGAGGACGAGGAGGAGGAGGTGGAGGAGGAGGAGAAGGAAAAGGAGTAGGAGGCGGGAGAAGAGGAGGAGGAGGAGGAGGAGCAGGAGGAGAAAACGGAGGAGGAGGATGAGGAGGAGGAGGAAGGGGGGAGGGGGAGGAGGGGAGGAGGGGGGGAGGAGGAGGAGGAGGAGGAGGAGGAGGAGAGAGGAGGAAGAGGAGGAGGAGGGGAAGGCGGCGGAGGAGGAGGAGGAAGAAAAGGAGGAGGATGAGGAGAAAAACGCCGGTTGCGGCTCCTGGTCGGGCGTCAATGATGCCACGCCCCCGACGAGCTGCTGGGCGCGCGCGACGTAGGCGCCGTGCAAGGCCTCCACGCGGCCGCCGCGGGGGCCCGTCGCCCGCGCGCGCGAGCTTTCCGAGTTGGGCCCGCCAGCGGGGCTAGCAAGGGAGACGAGGAGGAGGAGGAGGAGGAGGAGGAGGAGGAGGAGGAGGACGACGATGACGACGACGACGGGGAGGACCAGTGTTTGGGACCACTGTTAACAACTTAACCTTCATGCGTCATGCCGCCAAAACGAGAATGTGGCACGGGCATAAAGGGGGACAATCGCCCAGTGGCTCGCCGCCCTGCCGACGATCCCCAACAACCATGGTTCACCCGACACTGCGGGGGCAGCGCTGGCAAGGTTCACCCGCTCATGGTTGTCAGCCGTGTGCTCACTGAGTAGCAGGGCCAGCTAAAGGTAACGTCCGACGGGCACGTGCGCGCGGGTTCCGCGCTGGTACCGGGCGATATCATTGACCTCTCACCCGAAAATCCCCGCCCGGGGGTGGGCCGAACCCCCACGGGGTTCACGTGAAACACGACACCGCCCCTCCCGGAAACGCTGGCCAAGCTTCAGACCACACTGACCAGGATGCGCGGGGGCCAAGTTCCTTCCTGTTCGAGAAAATGGTGGCCGCCTTCCTGTTCCCGCATCGCTGTCCTTAACGCTGCGCGCCAGAGCAAGTGCGGCGCTGACACCGCGAGAACAGGTGCCAGACCCCCGCTCGGAGCGGAGGAGGAGGAAAAAGAGGAGGACGAGGAGGAGGAGGAGGAGGAGGACGACGACGACGACGAGGGAAGAGGGGGGATGAGGAGGAGGAGGAGAAGGAGGAGGAGGAAAAAAATACGAAGATGAAGTTGAAGATGAAGGAGGAGGGCGGAGGAGGAGGACGTGGAGGAGGAGGAGGAGGAGGACTGACAAACAGACACACGGACAGACTGGCGGAGGAGGAGGAGGAGGAGGAGGAGGAGGAGGAGGAGGAGGAGCCCGTCCGTGCGCGATGCCCGGCTGGAGGCCAGCGCAATCCATGAACGCTCTGCGCCAGCCCCCCCGGGACGACCGTTGCCTGGCGCCCAAGCCACCAAGCACCGGCCATCCCTGGGGTGGGGGGCGCGCGGGCCGGGGCCCCATACACTCCGCTACCCGGCAGCACCGCGACGACCGCGAGGTCGGTGTAGCGGCGCTTCCCGGGCTTGCCGCCAGCGCCCGCCCGTCGCCGCCCAGACAGACAGACAGACAGACAGACAGACAGACAGACAGACAGACAGACAGACAGACAGACAGACAGACAGACAGGGCCACAAACGACCCATAGTTCATAGACTGGACCTTGAAAGAAAATAGCCCAAGCGTCAAAAAGTGAAGTTGCTTATGGGGAGTATACGGTTATGTGCTGCGCTCTTTATGTGCGCAGGACGAGCGAGCGGACTGCATGCAAAGGCGGCCAGGCAGTGGGCAGGAGAGAAGAGGGGTGGCGTCGGTAACAATGGGTTTCTGTGTCTCTCTTTCTCTCTTCCTGTTTGTTTTGTTCTCTCTCTCTCTCTCTCTTTCTTTTGTAATTTCTCTCTCTCTCTCTCTCTCGTTTGTCTCTCTCTCTCTCCCTCTCTTTAGGCCAGCGATACATCCGCGACGCTGGCGCAAGGTCAAGCTCCACATCGAGCCGCATCGTCGATACATTCGCGATGTGGCGCGACCCTCCGACCCCATCTACTCGGACCACATCTGGGAAGCCTAGAGCTAAGGGGGCCAGAACGAATACGTACACAATCAACATAAATATCCGCTGCCCTGCGGCACGAGCTGGAGCGTACACTGAGGACACGATGGCTTCTCCTGCCCAGCGTCGCAAATCGAACGTCGCAGGCGGCGCCAGCAGCGTTGGCAGATGAGGCGGCGCCGCCTCAAGCCAAAGCGGCGGCCGAATAAGCTGCATCATGCCCCCTCGGGGCATATCCGTCGGTCGGATGGCGCGGGTGGAAACATGAAGCAGGGCGGCGTTGGCAGTGAAGGGGGCTTCGCCCGCCCCCGCAAGAGGAGGGAAGAGGGAACACCACTCGACCCTTGAAGTAGGAAAGCGCCTAAAGTAGAATGGAACCTGGACATCCCCTAAAAAAAATACGTTCAACGACCGACGTGTACCCTCAAAGTCCTCTGGCCTAAGACAGAAAAACATCCTTCAAGAACACGAGACCCTCCGCCGGCCAAAACACACAGAACATCCAAGGGTACCCTCCCCGAGCCGACCTCGATCTTATGCCTCGGTCCAGCCGTATGCCCCCTCGGGGCATACCCTCAGACTCCCCGAGGCACGAGTTGGAGCGTCCTCGGGCCCCTCTGCCCCGAATCCCCAGGACTCCTCAGAAGGGGGCCCACAGCTCCGCCGTGAGCCAAAGCAGCGGCGGCCGAGCAAGCTGCAGTATGCCACCCTCGGGGCATACCCTCAAAGCTCAGAGTCCGTGAGGCACGAGTTGGAGCGTCATCGGGCCCTCCCGCCCCCAATCCCGCAGATTCTTCAGAAGAGGGGGCCCAGGGCCCCGAGATTTCCAGGAGCTCTCGGGCACGCTCGCGGGCGCGCTCTCGGCTCTCGCCGCGCGACATTCTTGGAGCCAACAAGCGGAGCCCAGGACGGCCCAAGAGCCCCCCGAGAAGGTAAGATGAGGCCCCAAATCGCCGAACGATCGGTCCAAGACGCCCAAGCTGGCCTCCAGACGGCCCAAGAGGCCCCCGAAAGGCCTCAAGAGAGCCTCAAGAGCTCCCTCAAATATGGCCGAGAGGCCAAACTCATTGATTTCCGTAGGTCTTTAAAAGATGTTTGCTTCAACGCTTGTTCGGCCTTCCGGCCACCGAAGACAGCCCACGAGGTCACCAAGATCGCCCCAAGAGGGCACCAAGAAAGCCCCAAGCGCAGGCACCCTGAAACTAACATAGCCGAAGCCCCCCCAGAGGCCCAAAATGATCCCCCAAAGGCCCCAGAGATGAATTCTGGGAGGCTGGAAGAGGCTGCCAAAAGACCCCGATAGGCCTCCAAGAGGCCTCCAAGAGGCCCCACGAGGCTCCCAAGAGTCATTCAAGAGTGAGACACCCCATGAGGCCCCCGAGAGGGCCTCTGGCACACAACCCAGGCACGAATGATCGACGCCCGCTGGGATCGATATGGCCCAGGTGGTACCACCTGGGTACCACTCGAACCATACAGCCTGCATCCAAGAGGGAATCATCCCGAGTATCTTCCGAATGGTATCCAAAGAGACACCACACGCATCCAAGACACATCTGCTAGGGCTCCCAACTTCGCGCTTCGCGCTCCGCGAAGCGCGAGTAGCTTCGCGCTCTCGCGCCGCCCTCCCAGAGGCAGAAAGGGAGGACGGGGAGGAGGGGGAGAAGGAACGAGGACCGCGAAGCGCGAATAACTTCGCGCCCTCGTGGGAGCCTGTGCACCAAAAGAGACCCAGCACGCATCCAAGACACATCTGACCCAATGCTTGGGCACGGTGGCGGGATAGGCCGAAGGCGCCACGAGATCCGCCGCCCCCTGTTGATTCATCACAAGGGTGCCCGGCGTACTGAATCCTTTCGCTTTTGGTTTTGGCTCTTTTTCCAAAAGAACTGACCCTGGGGCTTCGGCCCGTCCCGCTGGCCACCCGGAAGGGTGCACAAAAGATGGTTGCAAAGGGTTTTTCGGCTTCAGGCGGCTCCAAGATGGCCTCCAAGATGGCCAAGATGGCCCAAGATGGCCTCCGAGTTCGCCCAAGATGGTCCAAAATGGCCTCGAAGACGGTCCACGCGTGGCCCGATAGCTTGGCCAAGTTCAAACCCAACTTTCGGCCACGCAGGCGATTCCAAAAAGGCAGGGGGCGGCGGTGATTCGCCGTAGGCGTCTTCGATCCGCCGCCCCCCTGTTGGCTTGCCACAGGGATATACGCGGCGTGCTGGGCGTCGATTGGGTTGGCCCAGCGCGCCTGCCACCTGAAGGGCTCCTCAAGATGTAGTTGCCCATGCCTATCCCGCTCCAAGATGGCCTCCAAGACGGCCAAGATGGCCTCCAAGATGCCTCTACTAGGGCTCCCAACTTCGCGCTTCGCGCTCCGCGAAGCGCGAATAACTTCGCGCTCTCGCGCCGCCTCCCCAAAGGGAGAAAAGGAGGACGAGGAAGAGGGGGAAAAGGAACGAGGACCGCGAAGCGCGAATAACTTCGCGCCCTCGTGGGAGCCCTTGTCCAAGATGCCTCTAAGACGGCCAAGATGGCCTCAAGAGAGCCCGAGATGGCCCCAAGACGCATCTAAGAAGGCCCGAGAGGATCCCAAGAGGCCCCCCAGTCGGCCCAAGAAGCCTCCAAGAGGTCTTACAGGAAAGCCCGAGGAGGCCAAAACCATGGATGTTCCTTAGGTGTTTGATGGATGTTGACTTTTGCTTCGCTTCGGTTTCCCGACGTTCCAAGACGGCCCAAGAGCCCCCAAAGAACGCCCAAGCTGCCTCCAATATTGCCCCATAACGGCCCAAGAGGCCCAAGACGCCCAAGATGGCCTCCAAGACGGCCCTGAAGCGCCCTGAGAGGGCCCAAAGGCGGCCCAGAGAGGCCCCCAAGACGGCTCCTCCTTTTTCCTCCCTCTCCAATGTTTTTCTTACTCTTACTCGTATGCGTATGTTTCTTGTTTGTCTTGCCCTTCTCATGCTTGTAACTATTGGTGTTCTTAATGACATGCTGATAGTATCCATATACTTCGTCTTTCTCCCCCACGTGCTCCTGGAAAAATCTCCACAACGGCTGGGGTAACGGGTGGTCCGATAGCTTGGCCGAGCCATGGCCACAGCGCTCGGCCACACAGGCGCCTCCCAGAAGGCAGGGGGCCGGCGGTGATTCGCCGCAGGCGTCTTCGATCCGCCGCCCCGGGTGGCATGCCACCGAGGGTGCACGGCGTGCAGTGGATGTCTGAGTGGCGCTGGTCGTCTCGGCCTCCTGCGCCCGCCACCCAGGAGGAGGCGCTCAAAGACCGGGGAATACACAGAACATCTCACCAAGACGGCCAAGATGGCATCCAAGGCCGTCCCATAATGATCCAAGACGGCCAAGGTGGCCCCAAGAGAGCTCAAGATGGTCCCAAGATGCACCCAAGACGGCCCAAGATGCAGCCAAGACGGCCCAAGATGGCCTCAACATGGCCTCAACATGGCCGAAGACGGCCCAAGAACCCCACAAGCTGTTCAATGACTCTAAGGATCTCAGCTTTTCGCGCCTCCGACGCTCCAAGACGACCGTATGCCCCCAGGATCGCCCCAAGACGGCCCCCGAGATCCCGAGAGGCGCGCAAGACGGCCCAAGGGGGCCCCCAAAAGCCCCCAAGACGGCTGCCTAGAACTCCAAGACAGCCCCAAAGCGCTCCCAAAGGGACCCACGTCTGCCCAGAGGGGGCCCCAAGACGGCCTCCGAAGGCCAAGAGGTCCACGAGAGGCCCCCAAGGGCCGAGGTCCCTACGAGGCCCCAGGAGGCCCACGAAGAGGCCCCAGGAGGCCCCTAGGAGGCCCCCAAGAGGTTCTCAGGAAGCCCCCAGGAGGCCATAAGAGGGCCTCAAGAGGCCTCCTCTTCTTCTTCTTCGTCCTCCTCCTCCTCCTTCTCCTCAGTTCTCGTCCTCTCCCAAGTGTTCCCCCAAAAGGTTCCATGAAGGCTGGGGATCACAGAGTCCAATAGCTCGGCCAAACTTCGGCGCAACGTTTGACCACAGAGACGCCTCCCCAAGAAGCAAGCCGTGATTCGCCGTAGGCGTCTTCGATCAACTTTCGGAGGTCAGCGCGGATTTCTTGGGTCGGCACAGGACCTCCCTCCCTGGCGCGCGGAGCGCGCTGGGGGCAACGCTGGAAGCGCTGGGCGATCGCCTCGGCGCCGCGCACATTCGACTGAAAAGTTCGCCAGAGTTTCACGGATGGGGGCGGGTCCTTTTCCAGCATGCGGCACTCGCCGTAGCGCCGAGAACGTGCGTTTTGAAACAGAACAACAATTCCAAACATGGAGGGCGGTTCCGTTTCAGCATGTGGCTCTCGCCTTCGCGCCTCGCACACTCGCCTTAAGAATTTACACAGTCTCAAGGCTTCTTATGGTTGCCGGTATAAAAGCGGCGTTTTCGCATGATGTGGGACTGTCAGGGCGCAAGATGTTGATTCGCGGTGTTACAGTCCCAGGAATGGTGTTCTGGCACGATTCAGGATCAACAGGGCGTAACAATAAGGTTGATTCGCGGCGCTGAACGCCCAAGAACGGTGTTTTGGCACAGTTCTGGATTTTCAGACCGTTGCCTTCCAACAGGGCACTTCCCTCAGTAAGAAGAAATCCTTGCAGGGACCTTTGAAGAGGAAACTTGTAGGTACGGTTTATTGCAACATCGTTGATGAAACTTGGGCTTACACGGGTCCTCCTCCTCCCCTCCTCCTCGTCGCCTTCCCTTCCTTCCTCCTGTTCCCTCCCTCCCTCCCTCACTGCCTCCGTCCCTCCCCCTCCCCCTCCCCCTCCCCCTCCTCCTCCTCCTCCTCCTCCTCCTCCACCTCCTCCTCCTCCTCCTCCTCCTCCCTCCATTCCATTCCATTCCATTCCATTCCATTCCACTCCACTCCATTCCATTCCATTCCATTCCATTCCATTCCTCCTCCTCTTCCCCCCCCCTCCCCCTCCCCCTCCTCCTCCGTCCCTCCGCCTCCCCCTCCTCCTCCTCTTCCTCCTCCTCCTTCCATTCCATTATATTCCTCCTCCTCCTCATCCTCCGTCCTTCCTCCTCCTTCGACGACGACGGCCCCCGCCGTGGGGAAGCGCTGGGAGACGTAGTCCACGCAACCCGAGCCGCCGTGGCCTCTGCCCGCGGGCGGGGACGAGGGCGGGGGGGACGTGGGAGGGGAGAGAGAGAGAGAGGGGGAGAGGCTCGGCGAGGAGGGCGGAGTCGCATGCGATCGACAAAATTTTCAACAGTGCGAATGGATGGGCTCCCCACCACTCTGCTCACGGTGGGCGTGGCCTCAGATGCTAAGCGCCCTGAGCCCTAATGTTACCAAGTGTGCAAACGCATCCGAGTGTCAACGAGCCTCTTTCGCCCAAAGATACCCAAGATACCAAAACCACCACCTGGAGCAGGGTCAGGCAGGGCATGTCCTCCCACAGGCAGCTCAGGGAATGCTCAAAAGTGGTCACAAAAAATCGAAACGTCGTCCCCAGACTATCTTAAACTATTTTTGAATATTCCTCCTGTAGAGGGACGTGCCCGACTTTAGATCAGGGGGAAGGATAAAGAGAGAGAGAGAAAGAGCGAGAGGCCTCCTGGATGGGGTCTGGACGAGGATCGCGCCGCATCGCCGATGCATCGGCGCCGTCGGCGTGGAGAAGTTCCGGCTTTCACGTCGAGCCGCATCACCGATTGCATCTGCAATGCGGCGCGAACCTTCGACCCCATCTGTTCGGACACAATCCGGGAGGCCTAAGAAGAGAGCCCCTGCTACCGGCCCCCCCCTCTCTGACTACCTGCCAGCCACCCCAATCCAACCCGAAGACACGAATTTGACTCGAATTTCGGGTTGGGGGGGTATGGGGTCCATGTGTCTGTTCAATGTTCCCCGACCCCCCCCCCTGGAAATGGAGGGCAAATGGAGGCCCTCTGGTTGGGTTGGGGTGGTCTGGTGGGTGGTGACTCCCTCCTGCCCCCTGCCCAGGCGCCCGTGCACGCAGTCCGCTCACGCATCTTCCCCTCCCGTGGGGCGACGAAGTCTATACATATCCAGTGCTCCCTGGCCAGGCCCATCCTGGACCCAGCAACGGTGTATACGGCACACCCTCCTGGCTTGGCCAGGAGGGCGTATACACATCTCCTGGGTTCAGGATAAGCCTGGCCAGGGAGCAGTGGATATGTATAGATTTCGTCGCCCGATCCCGTCCCTCTTCCTTACGAGTAGCCCCTCCCTGCCGTGCCCCGAGACGTGTCGGCAGGGCGGGCGCAAGGCGCTTCGCGTGCGCACGCCTCGCCGTGTGTGCTCCCGCGGATTGTGAAAGTTGCAGGAGATTCACGGGTGGAGGGCGGTCCCTTTTCGCAGTGCGGCTCTCGCCCCAGCGCCACGCGCATTCGCTTGTTCGAGCTTGCCGCAAATTCAAATCTTCGAACGGCCGAAATGTCAGAAATCATCATGTCGACCCGCGGTGTTGAGGTCCCAAGGAAGGCGTGATGGAACGACTTCGGACTGTCAGGACGCAGCAATTACGTTGATCCGCGGCGCCGCGGCGCTGAAATCCCAAGAACTGTGTTGTGGCACAGCTGAGAATTCTCCGGTTGTTGCCTTCGAATGCATTATGTCCCACTTCACGCAGTGAAGATAAATTCCTTTAGGGACCTGCGAAGAGGGAACTTGGAGGGAGGGTGTATTGCAGCATTGTTGATGCGTCTTAGGTTTCCCCTGGTCCCACCTCCTCCCCCTCCTCCTTCCCGGCGAATCCATTTTGTGGGAGCCTAGGGGCCGTGAGAAAGAGAGGGAGAGAGGGAGAGAGAAGGGGGGAAATGCGCGACGGACCGAAGAGGGTATTGCCCAGGCGAGCTTTCTGGAGCCGCGGTGCTTGTGGAGCAGGGGCGAGAGGAGGGAGAGGGAGTATGGAGAGAAAGAAGGTGGAGGAATGGTTATACATGCGTAGATGTGTATATCTCTCTATATACATATATGTGTGTGGAGCAGGGGCGATATGAGGGAGAGGGAGTACGGAGAGGAAGAAGGAGGAGGAATGGCTATACAGGTCGATACATATAAATATATGCTCGCGGCCCCTCCCGAGACCAACCTTTCGGCGCTTCTCTTCCTCATTTTCGTCGTCGTCTTCCTCCTCCTCCTCGTCCTCCTCCTCCCCTTATGTCCCCTCTCTCTCTCTCGCTCTCTCTTTCACCCCGCTTCATCCTCTCCAGGAGGCAGGTAGATTGCGTCCTGCGGGAGCGCAGCGAGAATCCGACTCCCGCTTCGACAACCGCCACAACAACGACGACGACGACGACGAATATCACCGCTACCACTACAACAACTGCTGGTTGCTGCTGCAATCGCTACAACAGTACCACTCTAACCAACGCCGCCGCTGTCATCACCGCCGTGGCCACCATTACCACCACTGCCAGAATCCCCGATCCCACCGCTACTGCTACCACCGCCACTGCCGCCATCATCGCCACTACTACTACTAGCTACTCCTGCTGCTGCTGGTCGACGCCGCTGCCGCTGCTTTTTGCGATATACGTCTGTCCACATATCTCGGGCCTGTTTTCGACGATGGTCCTCCCAGGCTTGTTTTCGACGATGGTACTCCCAGGCCTGTTTTCGACGATGGTCCTCCCAGGCCTGTTTACACGGGGTTCTTCAAGATCGTTCAAGCTGGCCTCCAACATGCCGTAGGGTCCACCCAGGCCAGTTTTCGACGATGGTCCTCCCAGGTCTGTTTACACGGGGTTCTTCAAGATCGTTCAAGCTGGCCTCCAACATGCCTTAGGGTCCTACCAAGCCTGTTTTCGACGATGGTCCTCCCAGGCCTGTTTACACGGGGATCTTGAAGACCGTTCAAGCGGGCCCCCAACATGGCTTAGGGCCCTCCCAGGCGCGTTTTCGACGATGGCCCTCCCAGGCCAAGTCTGTCCAAATATCTTGGGCGGCGGAGATTCGCCGCAGGCGTGTCGCGGTCTGAGTTTTCATGGAAACCTTTTTTCCGACTCTGGCCAGCAGCCACTGGTTTCTGAGATCAACTATATATGCGTCCGAACAACAAAAATGATGCATACAGCTGTGCCTGCATTCGCCCCAAAGAATTACAGGGCAGACCGTATGTGAAGTACTTTTTGCAGATGGGAAGCCAATCCTACTTCGAGGGCAGACGGCACGTGCCCGACCAAAGAACTACAAAGCAGACAACCTGCGCTGAAGAGCCGTCTGGCAGGCTTTTTAATGGGGAAGGGTTTGGAGTGGAGGAAGTTTTGGAGTGGATGAAGTTTGGAGCGGAGTGGGGTTTGGAGAGCAGGAAATGGAGGGCCATATCACTGGGCTGCTATTGCCAGGCCTCTTTTTAAACGATGGTCCTCCCAGGCCTCTTTTGAACGATGGTCCTCCCAGGCCTCTTTTCGACGATGGTCCTCCCAGGTCGATGTATACCCTGGATCTTCAAGATTGCCGAAGTTGGCCTCCAACATGCTTTGTTCTACTCGATGGTCCTCCCAAGCCTCTTTTCAACCATGGTCCTCCCAGGCCTGTTTCCAACCGTGGTCCTCCCAGGCCTGTTTCCGACACAACGCAATTCAATGCAATACTGTACAGCGCAATGCAATACAATGCAACGAAACGACACGACGCAATACATCGCAGCGCAGTGCAGTGCAATGCGACTCAATACAACGCAATGACACCACATAGCATACAAGGGAATGCTCATCGGGGATAGCATGGCATAGCATGGCGTTTCCTCGAGATCCCACTGCAAGTGACGACGCAGCCTCCGCGATGTGGAGCGGTAGGTCAGAAGGTATCTTTCCTTCCACTCGCCTCTTCGCTACTGCGCGCGCGTGCTGGCAAGAGGGAGTGCTGTACCATACATGTTTTTGCCGATGCCAGGCTGACGAGGAGGAGGCAGGAGGGGTGAGATGATAGAGGAGTATGTAGGAAGGACAGAGTCACAGCCAGCAGCAGGAGACACCGGCCCTGGCGCCAGGAGAGGTGAGAAGATAGAGGAGTATGTAGGAGGGACAGAGTCACAGCCAGCAGCAGGAGACACCGGCCCTGGCGCCAGGAGAAAGCAGAGGAGGGAGAGGAGGCTATAAAGAGCAAGGGGAACCACCAACTCCGGATGGACCCAGGAGACATTGGATTGCGTTCTCTAGGGGGGGAAGCTCCAGGGAGGCCCTGGAATACACGGTGGGAAAGATTCCTTAGCGAAACCTGTCTTTTTGAGCCGATGGTCCGCGGCATGGCGCTTTCGCTAGGGACTCTATTTAATATTTTAATGTTTTAATTTTATTGTTTTATTTGTTTTAATTTCCAGGGCCTCCCTGGGATCACCCTCCTGTATTCCAGTTCGCCCGCAGAGAAGCTCGGGGATTTTTTTTCTTGTTTTTAATATTTTTTTTAATAAATAGAATCCCTAGCGAAATCGCCATTCTGCTGCACAGAGGCTCGAAAATTAAATAGAGTCCTTAGCAAAACCTGTCTTTTTGAGCCGATGATATGCGGAATGGCGCTTTCGCTAGGGACTCTATTTAATGTTTCTAATTTTTTTTTTTTTTTTTTTTTATAATTTTCAGGGCCTCCCTGGGATCACCCTCCTGTACTCCAGTTCGCCCGCAGAGAAGCTCGGGGAAATTTAAAACATTAAAATAGTTAAAATAATTAAATAAAATTAAATAGAGTCCCTAGCGAAATCGCCATTCTGCTGCACAGAGGCTCGAAAATTAAATTGAGTCCTTAGCGAAACCTGTCTTTTTGAGCCGATGGTCCGCGGAATGACGCTTTCGCTAGGGACTCTATTCATTTGTTTTATTTTTCTTCATTTTTCTATTTTTTTTAATTTTTAGGGCCTCCCTGGGGCCACCCTCCTGTACTCCAGTTCGCCCGCAGAGGAGCTCGGGAAATTTAAAACATTAAAAGAATTGTTGTTTAAAGAGTCCCTAGCGAAACCTGGTTTTACTGGAACCGTTGTTTAAGATGAGGCCCCCCCTGAGGTTGGTCTCGGGGGGGGCCGCCACCAAATATATGTATGGAAGCACGTAAGACAGGAGCAGGGGACACCATCAGCAGCAGAAGGGGGAGGGTGGAGAGGAGTCCGTGGTGGAGGAGCGAAATTGCGAGGCGGGAATTTATCCATATCCACCGCCTGGGAACCGACGTCCTGGTGCCCCAGCGGTCGGTGGATATGGATATATTTCGGCCCCCGGGAGCCCGAACATGTCCATATCCACCGCCTGCCGAGGCTCCAAAAACTGACCCTCCAGGCGGTGGTCATGTATAAATTCCCGCCTCGGAGGAGGGTGGAGAGGAGTCCGTGGTCGAGGAGAGAAATGTGGTCATCGCGCCAATCACCACGCGGACCGCTGACTGAGCGACGACGGGGCTTCTCTAGCCACGGCGAGCCTCGGGCACGAGCACGCTTCCCGACCTGGATCTCGGGAACGGCCTGAAAACGAGAGCACCTCCTATGCGCCAAAGTGGCCCTTGTTTCAGCGTCTTCACTGATCGGCGCGCCACCCTTGCAGACGTGCTGCAGCGGATTTTTGCGTGGATCTTTGTCCATGCAAAACCCCGAAACGGCGAGTCAAAAACGAAATGAATTTCGTGTGGATTTTTTGTTAGTCTTCATTCCTGGCAAAAAGAAAAAAACGCACGAAATCACATCGAAATCCGGCACGAAATTCTCCAGGACACTCCGGGCCCATCCTATCGTTTTCCGAACGAAATCCGCTCTGCGATGTGGGCGCCATGACACTGAA